ACTGGAGGTGGAAGCCGTGCGGCAGGATCATCGTTCCCACCGCGTCAGGGAGGTTGCAACAGCTAAAGTTCAGGACCGCAATAAAAGCTACAGCCCTAGGTGCTACGGCTGTGGAGAAAGGGGCCATCTTCGATCCAGCTGCCCTAAGCGAACTGTAGGAAGGGAAGGTGATCGATCTCGAGAGGGTAGTGCGGATAATAGCACCGCCCAGCAGCAGCAGGGAAACTGGCGGGTGCTGGCTGATGTTAAAAGAGCCCCAAGGATTTCGATCTCACAAACCCATGATGGGAACAGCCTAATCATCAAGGGCGAAGTCAACGGAACGCCGTGTAAACTGACCATAGACACTGGAGCCTCTCGCACGGTTGTCAGTTCCCAACTTATAAGTCGGTTCCTTGGGGACTCCGCATACAACCGAGAACGCATTAATTTGGTGACAGCCACCGGTCAGCGCATACCCGTCCGTGGAGAGAAGGAGATGGAGTTGAAGCTAGGCAACATGATCTACCTGCATAATGTCATCGTGGCTGATATAATGGACGACTGCATCCTGGGCCTAGACTTTATGAGGAAGAATTGTTGTGAGATCGACGTTAAGCAAGGTGTTTTGAAATGTGGACAAGAGGAACTTTTCGTGGAAGGGGCGTTACCAGGGAATGTGTACAGCCTTAAGAAGATTGTTCTTCCGCCGAGATCGGAAACGATTGTGCCGGTTAGACTTCCACGGAATCCTGGGCAAACTCTTCGTTGTGTACTCGTGGAAAGGGTAGACAATGACCTTCCATGGAAAGTGGCTCGAACCTTGGTCACATCCGCCGACATCTCAGGAGTACGTGTGCTGAACCTTTGTGATCAGGAACAGATTATAGAAAAAGGCACATTGGTTGGTACTAGTGAGGAAGTGGATTGGTTGCATCGGTGCGAATATCTATCGACTGGGACCCCCAGCAAGGATGGACAAACTAGAGTGACCACACTTTTAGAAGACTGTCGCAGCGTTCTCTCCCCGAATGAAACGGTCAAAGCGAAGAAATTGTTACTCAAGTACGCCAATGTTTTCTCGTCAAACGAAGCTGACATAGGAAAGACTGGCTTAGTTCAACACAAAATAAACACAGGACAAGAATTGCCTATTCGTCAGCGGCCAGGAAGATTGCCTGTAGCACGTGAAAAGGAAGTGGAAACCATGATTGAGGGAATGGTGAAGGATGGTGTTATTGAACCTTCATCTAGTCCATGGTGTTCACCTGTGGTGCTGGTAAAGAAGAAGGACGGCAGCATGCGGTTTTGTGTTGACTACCGCCGCCTGAACGACGTTACAAAGAAGGACAGCTATCCCTTGCCAAGAATTGATGACACGCTGGACATGCTTACAGGCGTAAAGTGGTTTAGTACGCTGGATCTGAAAAGTGGCTACTGGCAGGTTGAAATTGACCCTAAGGATAAGGAGAAAACTGCATTCTCCACAGGAAAGGTCCTGTGGCAATTTAAAGTCATGCCGTTTGGATTGTGCAATGCTCCAGCAACGTTTGAAAGGTTGATGGAGCTTGTACTTACCGGGCTAATTGGAGATGCCTGTCTCGTCTATTTGGATGATATCATCATCGTAGGCCGTACGTTTGAGGAACACCTTCAAAACCTGGAACGCGTGCTCATGAAGATCCAGAGTGCCAACCTCAAGTTGAGTCCAAAGAAGTGCTCACTATTCAAACGGCAAGTTAGTTTTTTGGGGTATGTAGTGTCAGAAGAAGGTATCCGCACGGATCTAGAGAAAATTACTGCTGTCAAGGAGTGGCCGGTCCCAAAAGACAAGACACAGGTTAGAGCATTTTTGGGTTTGTGCTCTTATTATCGGCGATTTGTGAAGAACTTTGCAGATATAGCCAAACCTCTGCACAAGCTAACCGAGGAGAAGCGACAATTCTGCTGGGATGAAAGTTGCGATATTGCATTCCAGGAGCTCAAGAACCGTCTGTGCAAAACACCTATTTTGGGGTACCCTGATGCGGGTAAGGAATTCATAGTTGACACAGACGCAAGTGATATAGGACTTGGCGGTGTGTTGTCTCAACGGAATGGTGATCAAGAGATTGTGATAGCGTACTTCAGCAAGTCGTTGTCAAAGCCGGAAAGGAACTATTGTGTCACAAGACGGGAATTGCTTGCTGTGGTAAAGTCCTTGCAGCATTTTAGCAAATATCTTCTAGGGCGGAAATTCCACTTACGAACTGACCATGCTGCACTGAAATGGCTATTGCAGTTCAAAAATCCGGAAGGACAAGTTGCGAGATGGATTGAACTATTGCAGGAATACGACTTTGTGATCGAACATCGCAGCGGGAAATCTCATGGCAATGCAGACGCATTGTCAAGAAGACCTTGCCTTGAAGATTGCAAGCATTGTACTAGGCAAGAGGGTAAGGAAGTGGTATCTGTGAGAATGCTCAGGACAGACCAGCTCAGCACTGAGTGGAAGGACAGCCTACAACATGCACAGCAGGAAGATTCGGACATTAAGCCGATTCTGGAATGGATGAAGACCAGTGCTCCTAAGCCCAAGTGGAGCGACGTCTCAGCAATGAGTTCGACCACGAAAAGCTATTGGGCCCAATGGGACAGCTTGCTGATTCATGATGGAGTCCTGTGCCGTAAATGGGAAAATGGTCGGGGAGACAGGTGTCATTTGCAAATGGTTGTCCCTAAGGCTAAAGTGCCGGATATTCTACAGCTGTACCATAGTGGTTGTTCAGGAGGCCACCTGGGAGTTAAACGAACTCTCCTGAAGATCCGAGAACGGTTTTACTGGGTCCACTGTCGTGACGATGTCGAGGACTGGTGCCGCAAATGTACAAGTTGTGCGGCTGTAAAGGGACCTCAAATTCGTAGTAGAGGCGCATTGAAATTGTACAATGTTGGTGCACCATGGGAGAGGATAGCCATTGACGTTGCGGAGCCGTTTCCAGAAACTGAAAGTGGTAACAAGTATTTCATGGATGTGATGGATTACCTCACTAAGTGGCCGGAAGTCTTCGCCATTCCAAATCAAGAAGCTTCAACCGTTGCAGATAAACTAGTTCATGAAGTCTGTCGTTTTGGAGTACCTTTAGAGATTCACAGCGATCAAGGAAGGAATTTTGAGTCTCAAATATTCCAGGAAACTTGCCGAGTTATGGGTACTCAGAAAACACGAACAACTTCTTACCACCCACAATCTGATGGAATGGTAGAAAGATTTAATCAGACATTGGAGAGGTACCTAGCAAAAGTTGTGGAAAAACGGCAACGAGACTGGGACAGGCACATACAACCGTTTTTGTTGTTATATCGAAGCGCTGTTCACGAAAGTACATCAGTGACACCAGCTTAAACTTTGGGAGAGAATTGCGGCTGCCTGCAGACCTGATCACCGGAATACCACCTGATGCCCCACGCAGTATAACCGATTATGCAAATGACTTGCGGAACAAAATGAATGACATTTATGAGCACGTCAGACAGACGGGCCAGCAAACGTCTGAGAAGATGAAAACACGGTATGACCGCAAAATGAACAACAAGGGGTTTGATAAAGGTTCACTAGTGTGGTTACACAATCCAGTTCGCAGCAAAGGGAAATCTCCTAAGCTTCAAGCTAAATGGGACGGACCGTACCGGATTGTGACAAGGATCAATGACGTAACCAACCGGATACAGAAAGGTGTCAGAGGTACTCCTAAGATTGTCCATGTGGATCGACTGGCGCGTTATTATGGGGCCAATAATGCTCGGGACGAGCATGTCTTAGGAGGGGGCAGTGTTACGTGCCACTATTAATGTCTTGTACATGGCAACACTAGTTACACTAGCGCCCTCTAGTGTCGAGTAAAAGAAAGTGTTGCGCGCCACTATTAATGTCTTGTACATGGCAACACTAGTTACACTAGCGCCCTCTAGTGTCGAATAGCAGAACTAGGAGAGTCGAGATCCTTCCAGAAATTTCGGGACCGATATGTACTCGAACATTCTAGATGTCGCTACAGTGGAAGGTTCTGGAAACTGTCTGAGGCCCTATATAAGGCCGGTATGGACCACGACCAAGGCAGTATTGAATTGGCGATACAAGAGAATACTTCGAAGCGAAATAACTGCGGACTAAAGTGATTGTGTTTTATAATTGTGTGGTTTTAGATTGTAATTAGTTCTATGTAATTAAAGTGTCAATTTTGGTAATTCAATCGGCAGTTTTAATTGTCTCGAACCCCAAGCTCGTAACAGTATCATATTTAGCACCTGAAAGGGCTGGGTTCTCAATAAAACAATTTGCATCAGCTGCACTTTTAAACTCGACTGAAATTCCATTGCGTCCTATTCGCTGAACACCATCACTAACAACATTTATAATGTTATTATGGTAGAGAAAATGATCAAACTTTATCGGTTTTAAAACTACTCCAGTTGATAAATCATCTACTCTCTTACTTACATGTACAATAAACGGCGCATTGTCGTTATTAGAATATTTATGTTTTTTTCTATGTAGTCAGGATAGGTATAAGAGGTCTGAATAGATGGTACAGGTTGAGATGAATCTGTAATTAATCTTTTCTGAGGATGAGCTGAGTTATTGGTTACTAGCAATCTTTTACGGTTCGACAGATCAATTTCGATTGACATATTATTATTTTTTTTGGTAACAGTATGGGAGTCACATGGAACCCCGTCGGGATCGGGAGGATCTTCCTCCATTTTATTTTAACTAATTACATATAAAACAGCGCAATTACTAAATACTTCGGATTTATAACTACTAAAACCAACACCAATAGAAATAATAAACAAAAAAAGTAAATCAACAGCTCTCAGAATAGGAAATAGCCAAAAACACAACGACACTTGTACACCTCACACTCAGTCCTCTTTTCCTTCGTTGATTCTACATGGAATAACGAAACGTTTTAGTTATGGATTTTGACATTTGGATTTTTGAAGTTTGAAGTTTGAACTATGACATAGATTATCTTATGTTTTGATTTTTATGTACAACTAAAATTATATTTATAAGCATTAATGTCTATCATACACAAAAAGAATGTAGATTATGAATTATAATATTTTATAATTCATTAAAATATATATAATAAAAGTTATAAATGTAAATATTTTAAAGGTTGTAATACTTTTAATCTGTACTAAGAGTGAGCTTATAATGTGAAATACTAAACAAAAATATTAAATAATGGATTCCTGTAGAGTATGTATGGGCAAAAATATCGACATGTTACACATGTTTGATACAGGTGATATTGTTGATAAAATTTACTTCTGCACTGGAATACAGGTATTAAATATAGTATATTTATTTGGACTACCAAATAAAAATATGATATTGTCGGTAGTTTCTATACGTGGTAGAACCATTCTGCAGCTATATTATGGTTATAGTACGAATGGGTTGACTCGACAAGGATAGGACCACACTCTCAGAGATATCAACGTAAAATAGCAGCTTAATGCTGCTGTGTTTAGAATGGTGAGCTTAGAGAACTGAAGATCCTTTCTACTGGAAACGAGGCAATTTCTCTTAGTCCTTAGGGGTGACTATGCATCTGCATTTTAATTCTTAGTCGAGGATAGGTGTAAACATCTATTAGCCACAGCATTCACTTACCATCAGGTAGACTGTGTGCTCATTTGTTCACTTTACTCTATTAAAAAACACCAATTCGCACCCAGTTTTAGTAATCGGAAAGTATGTATTGCGTAATAGAGTAAATATCCTGCATGTGATAATGATTGTGATGATGGATGATTCCGATTATGCCGCAACATAGAAATATTACTGCTCAGGATATAATATTATAGTGCACAAAAACAGTTACAATTACTCATTGTAAAAATAAAATCTATGGTAGACTCAAATGGAGCATTATAGAAGTTATTATGAATTATGAAATTGAACTAATATTCAAACTTTGCCTTTCAGTTCAAAAATGAAGATGGTTTACCATCACAGATCTGCAACACTTGTCTTGAGGATCTGTCAATTGCCCACAAATTTAAAACTCAATGCTTATTGGCTGAAGAGACACTTACAAGAAAAATTAAGGAAGAGAAGCCAGAAGACATTAAACAAATTAAAGAGCCTGCTTCATGTGAATTCAGTGTGAAATCTGATGATAATGATGATGTAAAGGAGGACTTGTTTGAACCTGGTGATGATATAACTGAAGTATTAGAGGATGCTAAAGTGAAAGATGAGAGTAATGCTGTCAGTGTTAAGAAAAACAGCAGAGTTAAATTAAAAATCAAAACAGAATGGTAAGTTATTTTATATAAAACTATCTATCCGCATTGGCTTCACACGGGTGATTTCTTTATAGTGATAATAGCGCAACCAGCTGGGTTGTGAATTTGGTTGGGTGAATTGGTTAGTTGAGTTTTAGGGAGACTAACTGACAGTAGTTGATTTTTATATAAAGAAAGACAGTAGCAGTGTAAGAATATCCGTTACCCCATTATCGTTCCATGGGTAACATAAGAGGTGTCAGAGGACAATAAATCAAGAAATGGGTAGCAGCGTCTTCCTAATATCAACTAGAAAATAAAAAAGTTGCTGTTGACAACCCACCCGCTTAGCATGACAACTATGGCATAGTTACTGCTTACTGGACAATCTTTGTTAAGGCTTATACACAGCAGTAGATATGGATGGATGTAACTTACTGTTGCTGACATCACTTTTTTTTATAGGATAAGGGTGACAAGCAAGCACACAGTCCACCTAATGGTATGTGATTGCTGTGGCCCATAGACATCTACATCTATCCTCGATTACAAATCAAAATGTTGATACATTGTCACCCATGAGAACTGAAATGGAGTGCCTAGTTTCCAGTACAAAAGGGTCTTCAGTTCTCTACATGCACCATACGACGACCACGACGACCACACGGCAGCATTAAGGTTTAAGGAAATTTTACACTGGTATTCTGTGAGAGTGTGGTACTTCCCTGGTTGAGCCTACTTATTTGTGTAGCTGCAGCATGGCTCTACCACATAAATCTCTATGTGTAGTGTAACATCAGTCGTCACCCATCAAACCAAAATTAAGTTATCGCCATTTTGTAAGGACTTAGCATATAATATTGTATATGTGACATTATTCTTCTTTATAAAATTCTAAATTCATTAATAGATTCACCGACTCTTTAGTGTATGTTTTCATTTCCAGCAAGCGTTCATCTTCCAGTGTGCTCCTCACATTCGTTACCACTATTCATTCCTACACGGTTTCATAAAAACTATACACGTAACTCTTACATATGTTGTTCTACCAACATGTATAACAAACATTTTTCAGAAATAGATCTTTTTAGCACTAGTTCTAATCTTCTTAAAATAAATTTAAAACAGGTTTTGCAGTAAAATTTGTTGCCCGACTATGTTGGTCTCACAATGTAAATAATATGGTTTGTTAATGTATATTTATTGGCACTACTTGGTCTTTTTTGTCACGTGTACATGTAAAATGTAAACTATATTAAGAAATAAATATAAATATATTAAGAAATATGACTGTTTGTTGCCAAAATAAATGAAAAAAAAAAAGTATATTCACAGCTAAAAGCCGAAGTGCGGTTACACCTGAGCTTAACCGGTTTCAACTACACTTTGGCTTTTAGCCGTGGATATCTTTTATATATATAATTCTTCTATCCATGTGTATGTAATTGAACACCTGTTATGCAATGGCTGGACTCATTTTGATGAAATTTTGTGCGTGCGATTAAGTTGATTGGAGAATGGTTTAGATTCACAATTGGACCCGGTAGGTGGCGCTGTTGTCGAGATCCAGAAATCACCCGTGCGAAGCCGGGGCGAATCGCGAGTATACATATACTGAGTAGTTACAAAATTTCGACAGTTTGATATTGGCTTGAAGTGTGATGATACATATAGATAGACTGTTAATTGTACCTAACTAAAAATTAAGTTAATATCTCTTTCAGCGTAAAAGAGGAGGTGTCATTGAAAGCACGAAAGAAGAGAGGTCCATATAACAAGTCAGGGGTTCCCAAACGCCTCAGAAAGTATAAATTTCGCAAACTGTTTTGCGAGCCCTGCGGACTCAAGTTCACCAGCAAGCAGCAGTCAGATGAACACAAGCGAGATGTGCACAAGGATAGTGACAGTTTCGTTTGTGAGGTAAAGTCAAAAAAGTTAATGTAAAGTTACAGCCTATATATGTTCCACTGCTGAGCACAGGGCGCCTCTCATTTCTGAGAGGGTTTTAGGGCAAGGAAATGTCCGCCCCGTTGCCCCAATGCGTGTTGGCGAACTTCACATGTCTTCGAAATATTTATTTTATTTCTCAGACATGCAGATTCCTCATGATGTTTTCCATCACTGCCGAGCATGTGGTAAATTGACTTTTAAAATTGTAACTAACAATTTCATTGTTGCTATCAAAAGTGTGAAAGAAACCGGGATCGAACCTAAGTCCCTCATCTATCACGGCTTTGTTTGTGAGGTATATGTCATTAAATACTTGCTGGTTTGGCAGACATTGTTCTGCTCTTCCGGTAGGTGGCGAAATAACTTCCACTGCCAATTCACCAGTCGAGTCGAATTTTGTGATTATGTTTGGCACTAATATAGCACATATTATGTATATTGTGAATATGACTCATTTAGGTGTATAGAATTTGTTTACTAATTAACGACAGCGCCACATATCGCCAAATAGCTGTAAACCATCGTCTTAACTTCGGTAAAAAGGGTATCCGCTTTTCCACACACTACACGAAACACAGCAGCATTAAGCTGCTATTTCACGCTAGTATTCTGTGAGAACATGTGTAACCTCCACTATGCCATATCACCGCGTGGGTGTGAGGCGACACAGGGAAACAAATCAGGAGATGGCAGCAGCGTCTTCCTAATAATGACTAAATATAAAAAAAACGGCGGTTCTCAACGAACTTACCAACCGAGGCAATCATGGCAAATATTCCCCCAATCTATTGAGGGGGCCTGTGTTCAGCTGTGGACTTTAATAGGCTGTAACGGTAACGATATTCTGTTATATGGTAGTCCTTCCCGATCAAGCCGACCCATTCGTTTACACCAGCACAAAATACTAGGCAGTGACGATATAAGGCCAATCCTCCATACGACGGAAGAAGCCCATGTCCAACTATAGACTTTTTGTGCGAGCAGCTATGTTGGTCTAGAGAGAGAGACCAGTATCACTATGATCTAAAAGATCTATTGTGATTGCTGCTACGTATATAGTTCACTGCGAAGCCCTACGTCCTCAATGAATAGAAGGTGTTGCTTAGCCGTGAGCAATTTCACTTCTTCTGGTCGGAGTACATAGTTTCCTCAGATGAGTGTTACCTTTGTGCATTAAGGGTTACCTTCAGTTTTTTAATATTAATTTTTGGTTTTGATTTACGCAGAATGAGCTTACAGTATCTTGAAGTCTAGCAGTGGTATACTTGTGTTTGGATTTAATTTTATTAATTATAGGATCCCCAGCAGATGGCAGCACCCATCCATCTTCTCTATTGAAATGAGAATGTTTTTTTTTAAATTTCAATAGCCTCGCGAATCATCCTTGATAGGAATCGGTGTTCTTTTGCGAGGATTTGTGGTCTATCAAATCTAATGTAATGGTGGGGACGATCTTGAACATGTTCACAAACTGCAGACGTCCCGATACGTCGGTGCTTCACGTCAGCTGTATGTTCTTTAACGCGGGTTTTTATACATCTTTTTGTTTGTCCTATGTAAGAGAGACCACATTCACAATCCAGCTGGATTGTGAATGTGGTCTCTGGAAAACTGAAGGTAGCCGGGCTAACTATGACATCAGGACGTCAAACACCTCAGTCGCCCCCATGACCATGGGTGCTGGAACTCCGGGTAGCTACTGAGAATTTCTTGATGTAAAAGCTCAATAACTGATTTTTTGGCCCGACCCGGGATTCGAACCCGGGATCTCATAATCAGTAGTCGCGTTTACAATCACTACACCAACGAGGCAGTCATTGACTAATTATAGTAAACGTGTATCACGCCCGTGTTTTAGATCTGCGGTAAGGTGTTCGTTCACCGCGCGTCCCACTATACTCACGTACGATCTCATCTGCCGCCCCAGTATGCTTGCGACCATTGTGACTACTGCACTTGGCACAAACACGACCTCGTCAAGCATGTCCGCATACACACAGGTAAGTGAAGTGAGCGCTCCTAACTTTAAAAAAAAGGGTGTAATGTGTCTTACCTAGTTTAAACAGCACATCCCGCTATCCCTCAATTGTGTGCACTAACCCCATCACTACTAAGCCCAGCACCACTACACTAGGAAGGACATACCACCGTCGATAATATTACACGTGTTTCGCCTCTGCACGAGGCATCATCAGGTGAAGTAGACTCTGCGGTGGCTGACCGCTAAGTGATCCTACCTTTTTAGAATAAGGTTGACAGACGAGCACACATTCCCTGATGGTGAGTGAATGCTGTGGCCCATAGATACCTATATCTATCTTTAATTAATTAATCAGTAAAAAGGGTCTCCGGTTTCTAAACACTCACCACAAGTAACAGTGTCAGAGGGGTAGGCAGAGACTGCGGACTTCCATTTGATTCCGCTTGCAACTTTACAAAGCGCAATTACGGCCTCACATGGAATACTGTTCTCATTTCTGGGTCCAATTTCTGTACCCAAGTGCTAGCTCCTTCCACTTGACCGCATCCAGCGCAGAGCGGTTCGAATCGTCGACGACCGAGTTCTTTCTGATCGGCTCGATACACTGGCGCTGCGTAGGGATGTCGCATCCCTTTGCATTTTCTATCGCATCTATCACATCGCGTCAAAATTCACGATACCATTCTCACCATCTGGATGCTTGGCGGTCCACCACTGTACGTTTTACTAGATGTTTCCTTCCTCGTACAATTTCTGTGTGGAATTGTTTACCAACGGGGAATTTTTCAGACCGATACGACTTAGGGACCTTCAAGAAAAGAGCTTATTCCTTTCTAAAAGGCCGGCAACGCACCTGCAATTCCCCTGGTGTTGCGGTCGTTCACGGGCGTCTGTAGTCACTTATCATCAGGTGAGCCGCATGCTTGTTTGCCCCCTCTTCTATAAAAAAAATGCATATAGACTTCCACATAGAATGCTTAATGGGGGCGATATTTGCCATAGTTGTTTTTTTATTAATTTAAGCTATTTTAGGAAGATGCTGCCGCCCATCTCCTATTTCATTTCTCCTCTCACGATGCCCACTTAGTGGTGGTGGATTACCTTACGCCGCGAATACACGGTACTTCAGTGTTTCAATATATTAATAACGAAGTACTAACTTCATACTAATTCACTGTATATATTTTTGTACCTGTTTGTGCGTAGATCCATCCATCCATTGCAGCCTATAAAAGTTCACTGCTGTACATAGGCCTCCCCCATAGATTGCCTCATAGATGAGGCTCATTGCCACAGTAGCTGCGTGGCAGGCATGTTGGCAACCGCAGTTTTTTTATTTTTTTGAGTAGTTGTTAGGATTTAGGAAGGTGCTGCTGCCCGTGCCTTGTTTCAGTTTCCCTCTGTCATCTCTAACAACACTCACGGGATAATATGGGGTGTTTAATAGTTTTACGTCGCCACTACACGGCATTTTTAGGACTTTAAGCATCCACTTACCATCAGGTGGACTGTGTGCTCGTTTGTCACATATATATATTATAAATAAAGTAATGGGCTGCAATAACCATTTTTTGTAAAATATACTGTTTGTTTATTAGTTCAGTTAAAAAAAAATCACGAAATATCTGTTTCTTTAGGCTATAATACAAATTAATGTCTAACGAGTTCATGTAATGTAGCGGAGACTATTTGAATCTAGATTATATTTTCAAATAATATAACAACCGACTTCAATATAAATTATTAAAAATAACTCAAAAACTATTGGTCACACCTTGATCAAATTTATATGAGACCACAAGTGAAGTACCAGCTTTCAAATAAAAAAGAATCATCATAATTTAAAATTAAGAATTTTATATAACATATAAAAAATAAATCATAGAAATCGGTTCAACCAGAAAGAATTTATGAGGTAACATACATAACAAAAAAACATCTAGTCGAATTGGGTACCCCCTCCAGTTTGAAGTGGGTAGAAAAATATGTGCCACTGGGATGTTGTTTTAAAAAGTTTAATAGTAAGTCTTTAAAATCCGAATGACATATTTTTAAGAAACGTTTCGTTGTCCGTAACGATCCGTTTTATTACATACGAGGTGCATTTGGAAACAGTTTATATTACAAACTATTCATTCATATTCATTCAAGAACTTGAGATAACATAAATGAAAAAAAAAATCAAGCCCTTCATAAATAGTTGAATATATTTTGTGTTAAAAAAAATTAAAAACCCCGAAACAAAGAGAGCTTGTGATCTTCCAACGGCTGAACAGATTTTCTTGAAACATAGCTAAGAACACTCTCAATTAAGACACCTTTCAAACGAAAACAACTAAATAAAAACTGGTTTATCAGTTCAGGGGCTATGATGCTACAGACACACACAGATACATACATACCTGTTTACATCTTCTTCTCTAAAAATCTGCTATCCTTTTCTATTCTAACCACATCTGCTCCCATAGGTGTAAAGATGTACCAGTGCGAATACTGCACGGCCTCCTACTACACCTCTTCGAACCTGACCTGCCACATCAGGCGGTACCACGAAAAGGAGCGTCGATACCACTGCGAGCTCTGCGACCGGAGTTTTTACGATCGTACCAAACTCAATAGGCATTTGGACTCCCACAACGAGATCAAGAGGTATGCACACTGACCAACTTTTTTCTTCTAGGTCACAGCTTTACTGACTGGTAGGTATTCCACCTTACCGGGTAGGTACCGTGTAGTGGCGGTGTAAGAATATCCACTACCCCATTTCGTCCCGTGGGTGTCGTAAGAGGCGATAGAGGGAAACTAATCCGGAGATTGGCAGCAGCGTCTTCCTAATAAAAACTAAAAGTAAAAAACTGTGGTTGCTAACCCGCTTTCCAAGCGTGGCAACTATAGCAAATATCTCCCCTATGAGGCAATCTATGGGGAGGCCTATGTTCAGCAGTGAGTGGACTTTAATAGGCTGTAGTGGATGGATGTATAGAAGACAATCTACCAGGAGCACATGACCCACTGAGAGGTGAAATTTTCAAATCAACAGTAACATTACAACTATGGAAAATATCCTATGATGCAATCTATGGGGAGGCCTATGTTCAGCAGTGGACTTTAATAGGCTGTAGTGGATGGATGTATAGAAGACAATCTACCTGGAGCACATGACCCACTGAGAGGTGAAATTTTCAAATCAACAGTAACATTACAACTATGGCAAATATCCCCCCTAAGAGGCAATCTATGGGGAGGCCTATGTTCAGCAGTGGACTTTAATAGGCTGTAGTGGATGGATGTATAGAAGACAATCTACCAGGAGCACATGACCCACTGAGAGGTGAAATTTTCAAATCAACAGTAACATTACAACTATGGAAAATATCCTATGATGCAATCTATGGGGAGGCCTATGTTCAGCAGTGGACTTTAATAGGCTGTAGTGGATGGATGTATAGAAGACTATCTACCAGGAGCGCATGACCCACTGAGAGGTGAAATTTTCAAATCAACAGTAACATTACAACTATGGAAAATATCCTATGAGGCAATCTATGGGGGAGGCCTATGTTCAGCAGTGGACTTCAATAGGCTGTAAAGGTAACGGTCATTCCATCCTAGTCCTTTGAGGAGACAACGAATCTGTATGTTTATAATCTATGCATAAAAATAAAATTGAACTGTCTGTCTGTAATATCGATTGCCTTTTATTAAGCTGAAGGGGTTATTTGAATGCTATGAATAGTAATTTTTTTAAATGTTGTAATTAAAATGTTGTAATAAAATTTGACGAATAGATAAACAGCAATGTCCCGACACGGAGTAATCTAGGATATAGTTTATCCGAAAAACTTGCTGATTTTTTTTGATTAATTGATAATTATAAATTAATGGTGTTTTTGATGATTATATTGAATCAAAATACGCTTCATTAATAGATCGCGTACCCGGGCGAAGCCGGGCAGGTAACTAGTTAGCTTATAATAAGTGACACAACCGATGTTGAAAAATGGTTCTCGACTTGCAGCCACACTAGATGGAGTGACGACCTAGTTCTGTTATAGTTATAGCACGAATGGGTCGGCTCGACCGGGGAAGGACCACCCTCTCACAGAATACCAGCGTAAAATAACTGCCTAATGCTGCTGTGTTTCGTGTGGTGAGTGTGGAGAACCGGATACCATTTTTACTGGAAATTAGGCATTCCATATTAGTCCTCAGAGGTGACAATGCATCTACGATTTGATTTTGGGGCTACAGCATCCACTTACCATCAAGTGAACTGTGTACTTGTTTGTCACCCTAATTCTATAAAAAAATATGAAGGTGGTCTAGGACCGTGCTTTGTGGCATTACTCGGTGGAGGAATTTGTTCAGCAGTGAACTTGTGATGGACTGTAATGATGATGAATAGAATAGAATAATTTTTTATTCAGTATAGATCACATGTGTAATTCTTATTGAAAGTAATTTTTTACTTTACCACTGGTTCGAAAAAAAAACCTCTGTCCTGGGAAGAACCAGCAAGAAACCCAGCGGTACTTTTTTTTAAAGCAAATTTTACAATAATAATTGTACAAACTATATAAGTACAAAATTTATTTTAGAAACAGCTTGGAAGCGATCACCTCATTCCCAGGGGTTATTATCAACCATGTATTCATTTATACTATAATAACCATTTTTATACAGTTTCAACTTAACAAAACATCTAAACTTGCTAATAAATAGAGAGAGCCTGTACACTTTCCGGGACCTTGTTGTAATAGCGTATACATTGCCCCAAGAATGAATTACTGACTCTGTGGAGTCGAGAAACTGGTATCACTAGCTTGTGTTTGTTCCTAGTGTTTACAGAATGTACATCACTTTTTTTACTAAAACTACCTTTGTTTTTGTGAACATACATTAAATTTTCGTAAATATACTGAGAGGCCAAAGTTAATATATTTATTTCTTTAAATTTATCTCTAAGAGACTCTCTCGGTTTTAGGTTGTAGTGGCTACTCTAATGGCCCTCTTCTGTAAAACAAAAACAGTTTCTGAATCAGCCGCATTTCCCCATAGCAAAATCCCATAAGACATGCTATGCTATGGATAATAGATCAGGTGACCTTAAAGTTCAAAAAAACTGAAGTGACAAACGAACTACCAATCCACCTGATGGACAGTGGCTATTGCAGTCCGTGGACAACTGCATCCAACTTTTTTTTATAGGAAAGGGGGCAAACAAGCATGTGGCTCACCTGATTGTAAGTGACTAGCGCCGCCCATGAACAACCGCAACAGCAGGGGAACCAGGGAAATTGTAGATGCGTTGCCGGCCTTTTAAAAAGGAGTAGGCTCTTTTATTGAAGGCTCTTTCTTTTCTTTCCTTCAAACTAAGATAGAAACAGATTCGTTAAATGAAACTAATTTTACGAATTTTATCGCGTTTAATTTTAACTTTTTAGTCCCCTACGTTGCGGGTCTCACGGGGGGGGGGGGGGATGCATTAAATTTAAACTTAATGTTCTATTAAAACGACCCATTAATTAATAAATAAGATACGTGAGTGTAATATGGTCACCTTAAGCTTTGCCGCCCTAAACTAGGAGGAGGACAGAGACAAATACACAATGTCGTGTACTATAACTAATATATTAAGAAAAAAATAGCAAACGAGCCTTGGCAATAATTAGAAACACTTCGAAAAATCAACTAAAAAAAAATTAACTACACTACCCAATACTAAAATCGACTAAAATATTTACTATAATATCAACTGTCAAAATGGCGTCATTACAGCGGCGCCATTTTGATTCTTTATTATTTGAATAGCTGATGAAGAGCCATCGTATCACAGAGCCATCTATGTAAACAAGGCTGTAGTTTTTGAGTTATAAGAAAGTGACCATATTAACCGGATGACCATATTATCCTCACGTACTATATAGAAAAAAGAACTTAGTGTGCAATATACTAGGGCCCCAGAGCCCGTGTACTAGTATACATGTTTGCATTTCAACCGTGTGGTGACAACCCATAAATCCATTTTGTCCCGTGGGTGTCGTAAGAGGCGACTATTGAAAATACCAGAAACACCTCTTGGTCATCAGATGGATGGCGTTACAACCCTTTAGTTTAACGTCAGGCGTACAATACTCAGGCAGCAGCATCTAAGGTGCTAACGTCTGGTGCTGCGATCCTCAAGCTGCCTCTGGAGAGCCCCTGGGCTTTTACTCGTAGATTTTGCGCCTTCACTGTGTATTTTTAATGAACCGGCGCATCTTGATCTTTTCGGAATGTCCCAGGTTCGAATGCGACGTGTGCCACGCCTGTTTCACACGCCGCTGTTACTGGAAGAAACACCTGCAGAGGCAACACAACGTCATCGTCCCCCCTCAAAGACCGGGCAGGCAGAAGACCAACAGACAAATTGGGGAACCCACTGAATCTTTGGTCGGGAAAAACGGTGTTGCAATATAGCAAATTGTCTACCGTGCTGTATATGTAGATTAGTCTGGGTGTAAAAATATGCAATATATCCCATATCATCCATCCCCTGTGTGTTGACAGAGGGCAGCTGTAAAATATATGTAGCAGTTCCTTCCTGACAAGAACTGAATATAATAAGACGGCGCTTGCTAATTTGCTTACGAAGACTTAATGATGATGATGGAACGTTTACTATTAAATCTAGATTAACATATTATGTTTAGTATCTTGTGGGATGGTTTGTCAGTGCATCTGAAATTTGATTCTTAATCGAGGATAAATGTAGATGGGGTATGGGCACAGCACCCATTTACCAGCAAGTAGACTATGTTCATTTGTCACGCTTACTTGTATATAAAAAAAGTATATTATTTAGATATTTATATTATATAAATGTATTTCTTGGGACCAAAACTCTTAATGAGGCTACTAAGATCTACAAAATATTATTACCAAAACAGAACTTTTAATGAAAAGAATCGTTTTATATGTTGTATTTTGTAAAAAAAAAACCTCAGCAGTTTTAAGACTTTGTATTTATTGATGGCTTTATTAAAATTATATTTGTTGAAACAGTGTTTTTTTAAACCCTTTTGAAGTGAAATTTCTTTATTATCAAAGTGGAGAAATTTAGTAAGGTATTACTAACTAAAAATTAAAAAAATTGTACAACCGACTTCAATATAAACTATTAAGAATAACTCAAAAACTATTGGTCAGACCATAATCAAATCTATATGGGGCCACGTAAGAAGCACCAGCTTTCAAATAAAATAAGAATCATCGAATTCGGTTCACCCAGAAAAAAGTTATGAGGTAACACACAATAAAAAGAAAACAGTCGAATTGAGTACCGTCTCCTTTTTGAAGTTTCACTTCGTACGTGTGTACACAATTACATACACATTTTTATTAATTTATTTACGTATACAATATTGTAGTGGCGGTGTAAGAATATCCAGCACCACACAATATCTGCCGTGAGGGTTGTTGGAGGCGACAGAGGGAAAATAATAAAAAACTGCGGTTGCCGACATGCCTGCCACGCGGCTACTGTGGCAATGAGCCTCCCATATGAGGCAATCTATGGGGGAGGCCTATGTACAGCAGTGAACTTTTAGAGGCTGTAATGGATGGATGAATCTACGCACAAACAGGTACAGCAAAATATGCTGTGAATTAGTATGAGGTTAGTACTTTTCCTTTATACAGGGTTAATTTGCATTAACCGGCCAAACTTGCAGAAAAGGTTCAGAATAAGTAATATAGGCAAATGGTGAAGAAAAATTAATAAAAAAAGTCTCAAATATTCTGTCCTTTTTATCTTTTAAATTCAAAATGCGTGGTAATGCATTATTTTAACTGCTTTTACTGCGCACGCACACGTTCGTAAGTGTCGATCGGTAGGCAAAAACGTTGTTGGCCATAAATCACATTTAATTTGGGATAATTACGAATAAAAGTCAAATTTTCAAGTCGAATTAAGGTGGTCTAAAAATGCAGTTACTTTGTTAGATGGTAAAATTGTGAAAGTGTCGTCTACGTACCGCTTGTAGAATCTTGGATTTACAGGAGCAGTAAGAAGGGCTTTCTCCTCAAAGTCCTCCATGAATATGTCGGCGACTATGGGAGATACAGGTGAGCATCTACTTGTTTGTAGAACTCCTCCTTCCACAATAGATAGCCAGACGTAAGGCAGTGTCTAAGTAATACTGCATATTCTGTAGGCATGTTGTATTCTTCCTCCTTGAGGAATTACTTGTATTCAAGTTTGGGATAATTACAAATAAAAAGCCTTATTTACTCGTATTTTCAAAAACTGCAATAACGGTATATCATTATTTATATATTTGAACTTAAGTTTAAAATTTGGCTACGGTTCGACAAATAACCCTGTTTATTAAAATACTTAGGTACCGTGTAGTCGCGACGTAAGGCATACACTACCCCATATCAATATGTAGCTATAGCAAATAGCGAAAAATAAGAGGAGATGCGCAACAGCATCTTCCTGTTGAGGCTGAAGGTATTCTTAGAGCCCACTGTTTGTACAACAAGTTAAAAAAAAAACATGCGTGAGTGTCGTGGAACACTCGGCTAGAACGAAGTTCATTTCGTAGTATATTATTATTGATAAACGTATTGTATAGTATATCGTATGTTATTCATTAACAAATACGTCTATTAAAATGAAGCGTCATTTAAAATAATATTTCTTTCATGGCAAGATAAGAAAAAGTGCGAGGGAGGTAGATATTACACTACTCGTACGTCAGAAGGGATCGTAACGGAAAAATCTTACACTTTGTGTCGCCTAGGCTCCATCCGCTAAATCCATACCGTCCGATAAAGAACTTCGTTCTAAAAATTAAAAAGATACAGTCGAATCTAGATAAGCGATGAGCCGTGGTACCATAAGGCTAAGCGCTCGCTCGCTGAAAATTTCACAGTACGCTAGCAACCCGGATTCGATCCCCGCCGGCACCAATAAAATTGTTTACTGCCATTTTAAGTGCTGTTTACCACATGCTCGGCGGTAAAGGATCGTGAAGAAACCTGCATGTCTGAGAAATAAGAAAAATATATTTCCAAGGCATGTGAAGTTCGCCATCACGCATTGGGGCAGCGCGGCGGATACTTCCTTGCCCTAAAACCCTCTCAGAAATGGGAGGAGGCCTGTGCCCAGCTGTGGGACGTATATACGGTCCCGCTAGATTTCTTGCTGGTTCTTCCCAGGACAGAGGGTTTTTTTTCGAACCAGTGGTAAAGTAAAAAATGACTTTCAATAAGAATTACACATGTAATGTTTATTGAATAAAAATTATTCTATTCTATTCTATTCTATTCTTTTCTATAGGCTGTAACTTTGACTCTGGATAAGCGAGCGTTAAAAGGACCGCGATCTCTTTTTCACTTATAGCGTTTTCTTACTAACCCGAGTTTCTAGCTTACAGAGGTACAGGAAAGGTCTGTCTCTTTTATAGACTCTCACAAAAATACAGCAAATATAGTATATATATTTATTTTAATGAATCAGAAGTATTCGAGTTCTGGGATTTTTTAAAACATTTAAAAAATCATAACTCCGAAAATATTAAATTTATCATAAAAAATTATGGGACCTTTTTATTTCTATTTTATCGAAGAACATAAAAAATATCTTATATTTTTGATCTTTTTCTTTATGTATTTTTAATTGGTGAAAAGTATCGGAATTTGGTGTTCATCAAAAATTTTAAAAATCATATCTCCGAAAATATTGACATTATCGTAAAAAGTCATAGGACATTTTTATTCGTATTTCATCAAAGAATATAAATATCGGTTTATACAATATTGTACCGAGTTGTCGCATGGCAACATGCATTTATATCATCAGTAGGACAGTTTGAAGGGAACCGCATAAAAAATTGAGGTGGAATGGTTTTCGGTACTCATGCGCCTCTGATTACTCCTGGACTATTTGCTAGGTTGATTGTTGTTTTATTCTTTATTTGTTTGCAGGTAGAGATACAATATTGATACCTACTTACGTCATTACATTTATTTCAGTAAGTGTAAGTTCCTACCTCATTTTAGGCAGCAGGAATTGGATTGAGTTTTCATTTTAAATATATTTTTTAATTTTAATGGCAATATGGTGCTTCGTAACGTAGTAGAATTAATTGATGATGGGGCTTACTTGTAACATGTGCAATGGAAATAAAGTATAAAAAATTAATGTATTTATGGTTCAAAATTTTGTAATAATGGCTTACACATAAGTATGGATATGTACCGTCACGGAATTTTTTGTAGAACTATTAAGAAAAAACAATTCCACCATACATTATATTCGTGTAACTCGTACAGGTTTTGCTTCACACGCCAAAATAGCTCGCTGATGTATGAGCTATATTATTGTAAAGTTACATTAAAATCCATTCAGGAGTTTTTGCGTGAAAGAGTAACAAACCTCCATACATCCTCAAAAACTTTCACGTTTATAAGTAGGAAGTAGGATAAGTAGGATTTATTACGTATTGTACTGTACTGTGCTGTCTATGATATTCCATCGAGTTTAACATTTCGTTATTCATCCCCTAACTTCCATCTCTCGGAAATTTTATCTGTTTTAATGTTGTTAACGACTAAATGCCACCTAGCAGCTTTGGACTCAAGGGAAGAAGTGCTATTATGGTGTGCTTATTGGTGACCCCAATTTGGTTAAAACCAATCTTACCTGTCTTGAACACAGATGCAAAGTAGCCAGCCTTTCGGTTTTCTACAGATGGCATTTTCGCAGAGTGTGCGCAGGAATTGCATAATTTAATTCCTCCCTCTCCCTTCTACCATCGGGCAACCAGACTTCGTTGTTGACTTACCAGCTTATCACGCATTCGAACCAAACGGTTTGCTACATCGTTCATCATGAGTAAAATAAGTTGCCAGCATCTGTGTTTCCATCCGATAACAATGTGGGGGTCTTCAAGGCAAGAGTGAATAGGCTTTTATTAAGTCAGTGCGCTTCACCATCTTAGCCTACATCACCACTTACCATCAGGTGCGATTGTAGTTAAGCGCCAGTTTAGAACAATATAAAAGAAATGCCCTAAAATTTGTTCTGTTTATATAAATTATTCATCTACATGGTTGTGTGGCTTTTTTTCTTTACCGTAAGAAGGCAATGCTTTGGTAATACTCTGCTACAGATCCCTAGTCCTTTCAAAAACTTTCTCTATATACTTAATAATACTCTGGAGATTCATAGCCAATTGACGATGTTTTTGCTCAAACTTGCTCCAAAATTTATCTAGGGTAATTAATCCTCTCTCCAAAGAATCTTAAGTTTTCTTTTTGAAATTACTTTTAATTGATTAAATTGATGTGTGGGGCGGCCACGCTAGATGGAGTGACGACCTGATAAGACATGCAAGAAGTGGATGGATGTAGGTGGCTCAGGACCGTGCTTTGTGGCATTCCTTGGTGGTGGCCTATTTTCAATAGTGGTCTTGTGAAGGGCTGTAGTGATAATGACGATGATGATTTCATTGTATTTAAAATTATAGTAAAAATTGAACAATTCTACTTGAAGCTTTGGCTAGTATGTATGTATGTATGTATGTATGTATGTTCCTTTGTGGCGCTCTATATTGCCACCAACTTTACTGTTAAGTTGACAGAATTGCTAGTCGAGAGCTAACTATTGCCACTTAAGAAATTTACCGCGGAAATAGGTGACTACATATTCATAACCTTTGTGTAGAACTATGAAAAGACGGAAAATTATGAAGGTAGGTAAGTATACAACTTACCCAACGGAAAATTATGAAGGTAGGTAAGTAAATAATAATACAACTTACCTACCTTCATAATTTTCCATCTTCCATAATTATTATGCAGAATTTAACAGTACATCATCATCATCATCATCATCATCATCATCATCTCAACCCATTGCCGGCTCACTACTGAGCACAAGAGGGTTTAGACCATAGTCTACTTGGGCCATAGTATATTTGGGCCTGTTCTTTTCACGCTAAATTCTGCTCATATCGTTAAGAAAATTAAACACTGTCATTACCACCTA